AACCGGCCTCACAACTGCTGACCATATGTATGGCATCGTGTGGGTGAGTGGTTTGTTGTTGCCAACGTTGTGAACAGAGTGCCCCATGGTGGCTGTCGGGTTATGGTATTGGCAGGTATAAGCTACAGACAACGAGTACAATTGCATTTTATCGATGGCAATTTGAATACAGAGAGATACCGTGACGAGATCCTGAGGCCCATTTTCGTGCCATTCATCCGGCGCCATCACCTCATGTTTCAGCATGATAATGCACAGCCCCATGTCACAATTCCTGGAAGCTGAAAATGTCCTTGTTTTTCCATGGCCTGCATACTCACCAGACTTGTCACCCATTGAGCATGTTTGGGATGCTCTGGATTGAGGTGTACGACAGTGTGTTCCAGTTCCCAAGGGAAGCCAGGCTTCCCCAAAAAATTTACCAAAAAAACAACAACACATTTTTATCTTTTGTCTCTGTGTTTCATAATTTTCCTTCAATTCGCAAGAGACTGAATGTATGTCACAGGAGAGAGCATCCGAGCGAGCGGAACAGTGCCCCTCTGTCTCTCTACGTGTAGGCCATCTATCTGATGCTGTCTGGTCTAAATGAGTATGACATTGTTGCCTCTCGTAGCATTGAAGGCAAGGGAAGCCAGCAAATATTTGTAATTCTTCCATTGTTGTGCCCCTGGCCTGAGAATATGGTTGTTCAATATGTAGCTAGATGTAGAAGGCTAATGTTAACTAGCTAACGTTGCCAATGAATGGAAGTTAGGCTAGAGAGCAAGCATTTTAGCCAGGTAGCCTAAGACAACAACAAATAAAAGCGTGTACTGTGGCTTCCCCAGTTATTTTACCCACGCACTGCTACTGCATATGGCAGCAAACAGAAGCATGTCAACATATCAACTTTCCCCACAGTAAAGTTTAAGAAATGCTGTGCCATTATGCAGAATTTAAATTGTACAGCCTTTTAACTTGCTGGGATGGGCACTCTCAAATGTCTTAATTATAGGCTACTGCGACTTTATCTGTTTCCTATTTGCATCATGTTAAATTATAGCCACTGTCAGTATCGACCATTGATAGGCCTAATTACAACACATATTCAACTGCCTATTTACTGTTAGTTCCATTTAGTTGGTATAGCCTACATTATCATTCCATTTAATTACATTGTTTTGTTTACCTTAATTTGCTTCCCCTGTAAATGCTGTCATGGCCATGTGGTTGTTGTTGTGGTTAATAATATAATATGCCATTTAGCAGACGCTTTTATCCAAAGCGACTTACAGTCATACGTGCATACATTTTTGTGTATGGGTGGTCCCGGGGATCGAACCCACTACCTTGGCGTTACAAGCGCGGTGCTCTACCAGCTGAGCTACAGAGGACCACGGTTAGAGACAGTTGATCATATTCAGAAAAAGACATGTACAGTAGGCTAATTAAATCGTTATGGAGCGGAGCGCAGATCAAGCCATAACAGTTTGAATTCGACGCATGGCGCAATATTTGGCTGTGTCATCACAGAGTTCCATGGTTATTGCTGGAAATAGAGGATATAGCCTACTATTGTACACTATTCTCCCTATTATAATTCTATGTACACTAATCTTCCAACATTACCATGGATTGAAGAACTCAATGTGGCAACTTTCAGAATGAATCAAACCACTGTATTTTTGATTCATCAATATATTTTATCCAGATTTTTAAAAATATGATTCATACATACTTTCCTAACCCTAAAATTCGCCTAAATAATCTACAAGATCAAAGTATTTTTAAATCTAACAGTTTGTGTTGAAACTGAGATTAATATGAATATATTTAGATGTCTTTTGGTGTATTCTAGTCTGTCAACAAAATTATAATTAAAGGTACACCGTATTTAAAGGGATGGCTTAAGATAAATGTACTGAAAACCCTGTATAATGAAAACTCCACAAGAAAATCTGTTGACCAGCAAGTGGGAGGGTTTTCAACACTTGATTTACATTTATTCAGAGCGCTCAAGGGAACCATGCCTGAATAGCCCGTTATGCTGAGAAGTGAAGAGGAATTGTGTGTACAAGAAAGGTGCAAATTCCTAAGTCAGAAACAGGCCCTATGCACATAAAGTAATGAGAGAAACAATGTTAATTTCACCCACTTACTCACATTAAAGTTGTTGAACAGAAATATTCAGATATTATGGGTCCTTTAAAGGGTTCTCCTATGGGAACAGCCGAAGAACCCTTTTAGATTCTAGATAACACCTTTTTTTCTAAGCGTGTATATCATAGTCTATATTCTTCTCTTTCTTCTCTTCAGTGTTAACTGGACTGATTGGTCATATCAGACAGTGTGTGTAACGGTCAGAGCTGAAGCACAAAGACAAGTGGGTAAGCTGTCCTGTCACTGCTCTGGTCAGGTCTGTTACGGAATGACTCTGAGAGCAGTGCTGCTCCAGGGTGTATTTCACTCCCATTACCACGCCTCAATCCAAATGTCAGATAGCTTGCCTTCAATGCTAATGCATTTCCAAGGTTAAAAGACTTAGAAATGTCCCTTGTATTTGTTGTAAAGGGCTGCTTGGCTTTCCCTGTTTCTGCTCTCTTGCAGGCACAAACACACACACAAATGCACACACAGACCCTGTGTGAAGGGCAGTGTAGTGTCCTTGCATAGGCAGTGTTTACAGGATATTATCTGTCTCAGTGCCTGCCCCTCATCCCTCCGAATGGGTTCCCGTTGGAATGCAGAGAGGGGATGGAGGAGTTCCAAAGGGGGAGTGATGAGAGAGAGACAGGGAGAGAGAGAGACTACATATACATCCCAACACTAGGAGGATGGTGTTCAGAGGCACAGCTGGACTGTTGGATAACTGGACTGCACCCCCCTGTATATTTTAGAGGTGAGTTTCTTCCTCTTTTCTTTATCTTGCTCCATTCTGTCTATCTCTCTGGGCAGTTTGAATTACCATAAAGGGTGTCAAGTTTTGTTTACCCAGATTTTCTATTCTTTGACCCTTGGATTACGATTCTCAGAGTCAACTATTTTTGTTTTACAGGTGAACACTTCACATATCCTAAACCAGGTGAATTTCTCAGTAAGTATTTTTCTTAACAATTCTTTATTAGAATGCCTTCAGTACAATGTTGTGATGAGTAACAAGTGAATTCTACAAAAGAAAGCATACTATTTCATTGCAAATAAACATTGTAAACACCTCACAGCCCTCACAAAATGAATACACACCAAACCAGTTATCATTTTAAAAGATAAGGATACAAACGATCCTACAGCCTTCTTAGACTCAACAACACTGAATCAACTATCAGCAGACAAAAAAGTAATCACAAAAAATAGAAATACATTGTCTGATTGAATTTAGAAGGGGGCTCAAAACAGGGATGTTTTCTCTCCCCACTCCTGTTGGCACTGGCAAGTTAACTGCTTGCAGCAAGAATTAGACAGGACCAAAACATAACAGGTATCAGTATTGGTAAACATGAATATAAACTAAACTTATTTGCTGATGATCTCCTAATATACCTGACTAATATTGAAAACTCAATGCCCCCCATTGTTAACAATATTTTTTAGAATACTAGAAAATCTCAGGATATAAAATTAAAATGTGGAAAAAACGAATAACTCATGATCAATAAATGTAATAATGCTTAGTAAGTGACAACAAATAACAAATATATAAAGATAACTTTATCCCATTACTCAATAACATGAAAGCAGATCTAATTAAATGGAGCAATATTCCCATGAATCTTACAGTCAGAATAAACCTCTTTAGAATGGCATGGCTCCCAAAGTTTTTAGATTTATTTTCGGTATTACCAATTATTCCACCGAACACATTCTTTAAAAAAGTATACTCGGTCATATCAGACTTTGTGGTCAAAGAAAACGAATAGAATAAAAAATAAAATTGCACATCTCCCAAAGTCAGAGGATAGTTTTAACCTTCCACACTTGGAATTGTATCAACTCGCCACCCAAAGCTTTTACTTGTCACATTTTGTTAAAAGGCACTAAAGAGAAACAATGGGTACATATTGAAGATGTGCATGCTCATCCCCAGAATATTTTCATGTGTCTTTTTATAAAGGATAAATCTAAGAACATTAACAACTTAATTGTTAAGAGTGGCCTACTTACAGTTTAAACTTAAATCGGCTTGAAAATGGCTGTCTAGCAATGATCAACAACCAACTTGACAGAGCTTGAAGAATTTAAAGAATATTGTACAATCCACGTAAGCTCTTAGAGACTTACCCAGAAAGACTGAGCTGTCATTAACTTTGTCATTATGGGGTATTGTGTGAAGATGGTAAAAAAAAAAAAAAAAATTGAATCTATTTTGAATTCAGGGGTATGAATACTTTCTGAAGGCACTTTAGGTCTGAGAAAGTATGACGTCATTAAGGTTTGTTGAAATTATTTGTCTTTATTCATCTTTTTTCTTTATGTTGAAGGATGGGTACTAAGTCCCAGCCAACGGCACGTCTAGTCCTGTGAAATGTTAAGTTATCCACTGTCTTTTTTAATGTGTCTAAAAAAATCTTACACAAAAGACTTCTACAAATTCCAATGATTTAATGTATTCTTAAAGCTACAACATGTAACTTTTTTGGGCGACCAAATTCACATAGAAATGTGAGTTATAGATCTTTCCCATTGAAAGCAAGTCTAAGAAGTGGTAGATCTGTTATATGTGTGCTATTTCTATGCTTCCCGTTCTGAAGTTTCCTTTTTGCATCTTTTACTTTTGGTTTTGTACACCAGCTTCAAACAACTGAATATACAATAATTTGGGTTATGGAAAATATATTTCAAAGCGGTTTAGATGGTAAAATCATTTTCTACACCAGGGGTGTCAAACTCATTCCATGGAGGGCCTAGTGTCTGCAAGTGTTTGGTTTTTATGTTTCTTCCTCTTTCTCTTTCAGACATTAACATATTTGAAGATTCTTTGAAAAACTATCTGGACGTTAGTCTGTGACAGAGCCCTCAAAATGACCAGTGTGGCAGAATGGCTCGTGCAGAACAAGGACAAGATCGAGAAGGCGGTGGAGATCATGGGACAGGCCTCCGCAGTCCTGGCTGCCACTGTGGGCCAGCTCCATCCCATCCTGGAGGCCGTGTTCGTAGCCTCCTCTGAGATCCTCAGCAACCCGGAAGGACAGGACGTCGGCTACCTGACTGAGCAGTTCAGCATTGTCAACCAGAAACTGGAAGGCATCCAGGCTGAGAGCGAACAAATCGCACTGGAGCAGCAGAATACCTCCTTGAATAAGCAGAACTTTGACCATGAGGCACAAATGCTCAGCCAGTACGAGAAGTTCCAGGACTTTGTCAACGCCAAGCCCAAGTTCAAAAATAAGAAGATGGAGAAGTTCCTCAGCCATTATAAGATCACGGACGCAGACTTGAACCTGGACGCCCTCTACAATGATGTTACTGGGGACAATACCTCAGGTCGCCCCACGCTGGAGATAGTGCTTGACACAGAACAAAGGAGTAGAAGGGCGGTAGAAGATTTCTGTGCCAGGCTTAAGAAGCTCTTTGTGGTGGGCATCATTGCCGTCATGGCTTACGCCAGCCTCAAGGAAGGGGTTGTGGGGGATGAGATGGTGAAGAAGTGGCAGGAGTGTATGAAAGATGTTGAGAACCGCATGAAAGCAGCAGTGGACGATTGCACTGAAAACTTCGCCAATCAAGCCAAAATGGACATGGAAAACCAGCTTCGGGAGAAACCTGGAAGTGTTGACCTTGACTTCACCAAATCCATATTGGACACCCTTGTTAAGAAATATGACTGGGTGAGCTGGTGTGTCATGGTCTTCAATGACAAGGAGCGCATTTTCTTTTTCAACTGGCTAGCTGGAAAGAACTACCATGGCAGTGAAGGAAGAGCTAATTACTTTGATGTGATGACCAAGAACAACACCAAAGTGGTGATCTCTTTCAGTGTTGAGCCTAAGCCTATCAACAAGGGTCTGATCCACCAACAGATTGATGGGCAGAAACTGAAGAGGAACATGACGGATGTGGCTCAGGTCCTCAACAGAAGCCTCCCCAACTGCCAGGTGCATGCTGTCAGCTACCATAAGAAAGTGGTGGAGACCAACAACTTCCAAGAGGATTGTTACTACTATGGACAACACCAAAATGTGTACCTATGCATTCATCCTAATTAGCTTTTTGTTTCACTATGCAATGGAAAACCATGAATAAAATGCATTGATGTTTATATATGAGTTTAGAGGTGTTTTTAAACATAGGTCATGCTTTAGCTGGTGATTGTGGGAAATGTAATCTCTTATATTTATTTGCTTATCGGCATGGTAGATTCTTGTGTAGTTTGTGATAGTTTAAACTATCAGGATTTGTATGTGTATAAAAATGTATATGATACATTTTATGTCAGGCTATCTACTCAACAACAGTGACAATGTATGAGAACTTGGTACTTCCTTCTACCTAAGAGAAAAGTAAGATACCTTATTTTACCTACATTTTTTGTATTTCATGATTACCATAATTACATTACCATACCAGCCAGCATAAATAAGCTATTTCTGGGTTTTCTTTTAAATAGATTTGCTAAATGTATAAATACGTGTTTTCACTTTGTAATTATGGGGTATTGAGTGTAGATTGCACAGTGCCTTCGGAAAGTCTTCAGACCCCTTGACTTTTTCAAAATGTTTCCTTACAGCCTTATTCTAAAATTGATTAAAAAAATTAAAATTCTCAGCAATCTACACACAATACCCCATAATGAAAAAGTGAAAACAGGTTTTTAGAAATGTTGACAAATGTATAAAAATAATACCTTATTTACAGAAGCATTCAGACCCTTTGCCATGAGACTTGAAATTGAGCTCAGGTGCGTCCTGTTTCCATTGATTTGCCTTGAGACACTTCTACAACTTGATTGGAGTCAACCTGTGGTAAACTCAATTGATTGGACATGATTTGGAAAGGCACACACCTGTCTATATATGGTCCCACAGTTGGCAGTGCATGTCAGAGCAAAAAACAAAGCCATGAGGTCGAAGGAATTGTTCGTAGAGCTCTGAGACAGGATTTTATCGAGGCACAGCTCTGGGGAAGGGTGCCAAAAATGTTTTGCAGCATTGAAGGTCCCCAAGAACACAGTGGTCTCCATCATTCCTAAATTGAAGACGTTTGGAACCACCAAGACTCTTCCTAGAGCTGGCCGCCCGTTAAAACTGAGCAATCGGGGGAGAAGGGCCTTGGTCAGGGAGGGGACCAAGTACCCGATGGTCACTCTGACAGTGCTCTAGAATCCCTCTGTGGAGATGGAAGAACCTTCCAGAAGGACAACCACCTGTGCAGCACTCCACCAATCAGGCCTTTATTGTAGAGTGGCCAGACGGAAGCAACTCCTCAGTAAAAGGCACATGACAGCCTGCTTGGAGTTTGCCAAAAGGCACCTAAAGGACTCTCAGAACATGAGAAACAAGATTCTCTGGTCTGATGAAACCAAGATTGAACTCTTTGGCCTGAATGCCAAGAGTCACGTCTGGAGGAAACCTGGCACCATCCCTGCGGTGAAGCAGGGTGGCAGCATCATGCTGTGGGGGTGTTTTTCAGCAGTAGGGACTGGGAGACTAGTCAGGATTGAGACAAAGATGAACGGAGCAAAGTACAGAGAGATCCTTGATGAAAACCTGCTCCGGACCTCAGACTGGGGCGAAGGTTCACCTTCCAACAGGACAACGACCCTAAGCACACAGCCAAGACAACACAGGAGTGGATTCGGGACAAGTCTCTGAATTTCCATGAGTGGCACAGCCAGAGCCCGGACTTGAACCCGATCAAACATCTCTGGAGAGACATGAAAATAGTTGTGCAGCAATGCTCCCCATCCAACCTGACAGAGCTTGAGAGGGTTTGCAGAGAAGAATGGGAGAAACTCCCCACATACAGGTGTGCCAAGCTGTCATGGATTCTGCCGAGGCTGCCCCTCCTCCTTGCTCGGGCAGGCTTCGGCGTTCGTCGTCACCGGAATACTAGCTGCTGCCGATCTATGTTTCTATGTTGCACCTGTTGTCTATTGTCACACACCTGTTGCCCATTATTGTATCACGCCTTCCCTATTTAACCCAGTGGCTCCCAATGTGTTTTGTGCATGGTTGTTTTCATTTTGTGTGTCGTTGGTGAGTGGGTTAGTTCCTCCCTGTGTGGAGGTATTTTCTGTATTGTATTCTTTACTCATTTTCAGTAAAGTATGTTTCTTCGAGTTCTGTGTCCTGCGCCTGACTTCGATCCACCACATTACACTGACACTCGTGACAGAACCACGCACCATTTATGGAGTCAGCAGGTACAGCCAGTCAGTTCGAATCAATGGAGGAACGATTTCAATGACAGGAGAGTATCATCCAGGCTCTCGGCACCGCAATGGAGAGGGTGATGAATACTATGGACCGTTGGGAGAGAGGTGGCCTTCCCACACCTCCTCCAACCACTCTACCACCCATACCACAGTCCAACCCTTCGCCACCTGGACCCAGTGGGATTCGGCTCTCGCTCCTGAGGGCATATGACGGTACACCAGACGGGTGTCAGGGTTTCTTTCTCCAGGTAGAGCTCTACCTGGCAACCATTCACCCGGCGCCCTCGGGATACGAGAGTGTCTCCTGTCTGTCGGGGAATGCGCTCGAGTTGGCCAACGCCGAGTGGCGAGGAATTGACGCTGCATCGGTCTGCTACAAGGATTTCACCTGCCGCTTCCGGGGCAGTATTCGATCATCCACCGGAGGGGAGAGCGGCGGGCGAGCGTCTGTTCCACCTACGACAGGAGAGGAGGAGCGCCCAGGATTTTGCGCTGGACTTCAGGACGTTGGCAGCCAGCGCCGGATAGAATGAGAGGGCCCTGATCGACCACTATCGGTGCAGCCTAAGGGAGGACGTTCGGCGGGAACTGGCCTACAGTGATACCAACCTCAACCTGGACCAACTGGTGACGATGTTTATCAGGCTGGATAACCTGTTGGAGACCCGCAGACGTTCTGATCAGGGCCCATTCATTCCATCCCCCAGCACCTCCGACTCTACCCCCATGGAGCTCGGAGGTGCTGCGCTTAGGGTTACCAGGGAGTCGAGGCAGTAAGCAGAGCACTGGTCGACCATCTCAGGTGAGTAGGCACCCGACTCACCCAGAGCTCCCTGTTGGTCAGTTGTGTATAGTGGTTGTGTTTCCAGAGTTTTCCCAGCATAAGGCACTAGTAGATTCAGGCGCAGCTGGGAATTTTATTGATCGTCAATATTCTCATAGGTTAGGGATTCCTACTGTTCGTGTGGATGTGCCCTTCCCTGTCCACGCATTAGATAGTCGCCCGCTAGGGTCAGGTCTAATCAGGGAGTTACCGCACCACTCTTAATGAGGACGCAGGGGAGTCATGAGGAGAGGATTAGTCTCTATCTGATTGATTCTCCTGCGTATCCTGTGGTGTTGGGACTTCCCTGGTTAACCACTCATGATCCCACTGTTTCCTGGCAACAGAGGGCTCTCAAGGGATGGTCCAGTCAGTGCTCAGGGAGGTGTGTAGGGTTTTCCTTGGGGGCTACTACGGTGGAGAGTCCAAACCAGGTCTCCACAGTGCACATTCCTTCTGAGTATGCCAATTTGGCTCTCGCCTTCAGTAAGAAGAGGGCGACTAAATTACCACCCCATCGTCCGGGGGATTGTGCGATAAATCTCCAGGTAGGCGCTGCACTTCCCCGGAGTCACGTGTATCCTCTGTCACAGGCGGAGAAGGCGGCTATGGAAACATATGTCTCAGAATCTCTGAGACAGGGATACATTCGGCCTTCCACTTCACCTGCCTCCTCGAGTTTCTTTTTTGTGAAGAAGGATGGAGGTTTACGCCAGTGCATTGACTATCGTGGGCTAAAACAGATCACTGTGAAGTACAGTTACCCACTGCCTCACATAGCCAGTGTGACAGAGTCATTGCACGGGGCGCGCTTCTTCACCAATTTGGATCTCAGGAACGTTTACAACCTGGTGCGTATCCGGGAGGGGGATGAGTGGAAGATGGCATTTAGTACCACCTCTGGGCACTATCAGTACCTCGTCATGCCGTAGGGGTTGATGAATGCTCCATCTTTTCAGGGACCTGCATGGGCAGGGTGTAGTGGTGTAAATAGATGACATTCTAATATACTCCGCTACACGTGCCGAGCATGTGTCCCTGGTGCGCAAGGTGCTTGGTCGACTGTTGGAGCATGACCTGTACGTCAAGGCTGAGAAATGTCTGTTCTTCCAACAGTCCGTCTCCTTCCTAGGGTACCGCCTCAGGGGTGGAGATGGAAAATGACCGCATTTCAGCCGTGCGTAATTGGCCGACTCCAACCACGGTAAAGGAGGTGCAGCGGTTCTTAGGGTTTGCCAACTACTACCGGAGGTTTATCCGGGGCTTTGGTCAGGTAGCGGCTCCCACTACCTCCTTGCTGAAGGGGGGACCGGTGCGACTGCAGTGGTCAGCTGGGGTGGACAGGGCTTTTGGTCACCTGAACAGGGCTTTTGGTCACTCGGCTCATCCTGATCCCTCCTTGGCATTCATAGGCTGGGATAGGAGCTGTGCTGTCTCAGCGCTCAGGTACGCCACCAAAGCTCCGCCCCTGTGCTTTCTTTTCGAAGAAGCTCAGCCCGGCGGTGCGATACTATCGAGGGGGCCCCGGCGTATACTGTACGAGCCATCATGGACTCAAGACGTCGGGCGAGGGGCCTTCAGTACCACGTGGAGTGGGAGGGTACGGTCCGGAGGAGAGATGCTGGGTGCCGGTGGAGGACATCCTGGACCCTTCGCCCCGTCCTCCGTGTCGTCCCCGAGGCCAGTGTCGGTGTGCTGCTGGAGCCGCACGTCAAAGGGGGGGTACCGTTACGACTTCCGCCAAAGTTGGTGCCTCTCCTTGTGCGGGCGGCTATCGGCGGTCGTCGTCACCGGCTTTCTAGCTGCCACAGATCTACGTTTCTGTTTTCCATTTGTTTTGTCTTGTTTGTACACACCTGGTTCCCATCGTATGATGATTATTTCCCTATATAACCCTCTGGTTTCCACATGGTTTTGTGCGTGTTTGTTTCTTGTGTTGTGTCATCCGCTTTTGTGAGCTGGTGTGTTTTCCCTGCGTGGAAATTAGTGTTTGTTAAAGTACATTGTGTACTCAGTTCTGTGTCCTGTGCCTGACTCCATCCTACCGCTGCACATTTGACACACTGACAGCGACATCATTGATATACACAGAGAATAGAGTCGCCCGAGAATTTAACCCTGTGGCACCCCCATAGAGACTGCCAGAGGTCCAGACAACAGGCCCTCCGATTTGACACATTGAACTCTATCTGAGAAGTAGTTGGTGAACCAGGCGAGGCAGTCATTTGAGAAACCAAGGCTATTTAGTCTGCCAATAAGAATGCGGTGATTGACAGAGTCAAAAGCCTTGGCCAAGTCGATAAAGACGGCTGCACAGTACTGTCTTTTATCGATCGCGGTTATTATATCGTTTAGGACCTTGAGCGTGGCTGAGGTGCACCCATGACCAGCTCGGAAACCAGATTGCATAGCGGAGAAGGTACGGTCGGATTCGAAATGGTCGGTGATCTGTTTGTTAACTTGGCTTTCAAATACTTTTGAAAGGCAGGGCAGGATGGATATAGGTCTGTAACAGTTTGGATCTAGAGTGTCACCCCCTTTGAAGAGGGGGATGACCGTGGCAGCTTTCCAATCACTGGGGATCTCAGACGATACGAAAGAGAGGTTGAACAGGCTAGTAATAGTGGTTGTGACAATTTCGGCAGCTAATTTTAGAAAGAAAGGGTCCAGATTGTCTACCCCAGCTGATTTGTAGGGGTCCAGATTTTGCAGCTCTTTCAGGACACCAGCTATCTGAATTTGGGTGAAGGAGAAGCGGGGGGGGGGTATTTGGCAAGTTGCAGCAGAGGGTGCAGAGCTGGTGGCCGGGGTAGGGGTAGCCAGGTGGAAAGCATGGCCAGCCGTAGCAAAATGCTTATTGAAATTCTCGATTATCGTAGATTTATCGGTGGTGACAGTGTTTCCTAGCCTAGCTGGGAGGAGGTGCTCTTATTCTCCATGGACTTTAAAGTGTCCCAAAACTTTTTGGAGTTAGTGCTACAGGATGCAAATTTCTGTTTGAAAAAGCTAGCCTTTGCTTTCCTAATTGATTGTATATATTGGTTCCTGACTTCCCTGAAAAGTTGCATATCGCGGGGGCTGTTCGATGCTAATGCAGTACGCCACAGGATGTTTTTGTGCTGGTCAAGGGCAGTCAAGTCTGGGGTGAACCAGGGGCTATATCTGTTCTTAGTTCTTAATTTTTTGAATGGGGCATGCTTATTTAAGATGGAGAGGAAAGCACTTTTGAAGAACATCCAGGCATCCTCTACTGACGGAATGAGGCCAATATCCATCCAGGATACCTGGGCCAGGTCAACTAGAAAGGCCTGCTCGCTGAAGTGTTTTAGGGAGCGTTTGACAGTGATGAGGGGTGGTCGTTTGACCGCGGACCCATTACGGATGCAGGCAATGAGGCAGTGATCGCTGAGATCCTGCTTATAGACATCGGAGGTGTATTTAGAGGGTAAATTAGTCAGGATGATATCTATGAGGGTGCCCATGTTTACAGATTTAGGGTTGTACCTGGTAGGTTCCTTGATAATTTGTGTGAGATTGAGGGCATCTAGTTTAGATTGTAGGACGGCTGGGGTGTTAAGCATATCCCAGTTTAGGTCACCAAGCAGTACAAACTCTGAGGATAGATGGGGGGCAAGCAATTCACATATGGTGTCCAGGGCACAACTGGGGGCTGAGGGGGTCTGTAGCAAGCGGCAACAGTGAGAGACTTATTTCTGGAAAGGTGGATTTTTAGAAGTAGAACCTCAAACTATTTGAGCACAGACCTGGATAGTATGATAGAGCTCTGCAGGCTATCTCTACAGTAGATTGCAACTCCGCCCCCTTTGGTAGTTCTATCTAGACGAAATGTCTGAATTTTTGGTGGCCTTCCTAAGCCAGGATTCAGACACTACTAGAACATCAGGGTTGGCAGAGTGTGCTAACGCAGTGAATAACTCAAACTTGGGGAGGAGGCTTCTGATGTTGACATGCAAGAATCCAAGGCTTTTACGGTTACAGAAGTCAACAAATGATAGCGCCTGGGGAGTAGGAGTGATACTAGGGGCTACAGGGCCTGGGTTAACCTCTACATCACCAGAGGAACAGAGGAGGAATAGAATAAGGATACGGCTAAAGGCTTTAAGAACTGGTCTTCTAGTGCGTTGGGCACAGAGAATATAAGGGGCAGATTTCCGGGCGTTGTAGAATAGATTCAGGGCATTATGTACAGTCAAGGATATGGAAGGATATGAGTACAGTGGAGGTACACGTAAGCATTGGGTAACATTGAAAGAGGTAGCAACACTGGAGGTACCGATTGAGTTGGTCTCCGCGTGTATGCGGGGTGGAACAAAGGAGCTCTCTGAGGCTGGTTGAGCGGGACTGGAGGTTCTACAGTGAAATAGTACAATAAGAACTAGCCCAAACAGCAATAGGCTAGGCATATTGAAATGGGAGAAAGGCATAATGCAATCACAGGTGTTATTCGAGAGGGCTAAGACAACAACTGGTAATGGTGACGAAAGTTTGGGCTGAGGCTAAACAGATAAACAGCATAGGGTACCGTGTAAAGGAACAGTCCAGCAGGCATCAGCTGTGTAGCTGAGTGATCATAAGGTCCAGTGAACAGCAATAGCTATGTCCGGGAGCAGTTTTTAGGCTGCTACAGCACAGGAGAGCAGGAGGCACGGCTGTTGATTGCGCGTGCTAGCGGGCCGGGGCTAGCAGATGGATCTTTGTGGTCGTCGCAACGGGAAGCCTGTTGAAACCACATCAGACGATTACGTCGGCAGACCAGTCGTGATGGATCGGCGGGGCTCTGTGTCGACACCAGGAGGTCCCGTCCGGTTGACAGAGGTAGATAGCCAGGAGATGGGCCTGGCTCGAGGCCAGCTCAAGGCTAACTGGTGCATCGGGACAGTGGTGAATTAGCCAACAACAGCCATTCGGTTGCAGCTAGCAAGTTGCGATGATCCGGTGTTAAGGTCCAGTGATTCAGTGATTCCGGCAGAAAATCCGATATGCTCTGGGTCGATAGTACGCTGTGCAGACCGATAATTGTCCAGGCTAGAGCTGGCTGGTAGGTAGTGCAGGCCACGGACAGTGGTGAAGACCGCTAACAGTGCCTAATAGCAAGTAGCTAGTTAGCTGGCTAGCTGACTAGTTTCAGCCATAGGATCTTGATAAAAATAAAGAAATAATAGAATCTGTGGGTTGCAGGAAAGTATATTTGGTTAAAGGATGGGAAGTGAGATAGAAATATATCCGAAAAAAAGATAAAAACTAAAAAACTGGCTATTTGCACGAGGACACAACAGTATACACGAACACACTGCTACGCCATCTTGGATTCAATTATGCTTGCCCATACCATAACCCCACTGCCACCATGGTGCACTCCGATGCCATACACGCTGTCTGCCATCTGCCTGGTACAGTTGAAACAAGGATTAATCCATGAAGAGGGCACTACTCCAGCGTGCCAGTGGCCATGGAAGGTAGCATTTTCCCACTGAAGTCGTTTAAGATGCCGAGCTGCAGTCAGGTCATGACCCTGGTGAGGATGACGAGCACGCAGATGAGCTTCCCTGAGATGGTTTCTGACGGTGTATGCAGAAATTCTTCGGTTGTGCAAACCCACAATTTCATCAGTTGTCTGGGTGGCTGGTCTCAGACGATCCCGCTGGTGAAGAAGCCGGATGTGGAGGTCCTGGGCTGGCGTGGTTACACGTGGTCTGCAGTTGTGAGGCCAGTTGGACGTACTGCCAAATTTTATAAAACGACATTGGTAGAGAAATTAACATTAAAATCTCTGGCAACAGCTCTAGTGGACATTCCTGCAGTCAGCATGACAATTGCACACTCCCTCAAAACTTGAGACATCTGAGACATTGTGTTGCGTGACGAAACTGCACATTTTAGACTGGCCTTTTATTGTCTCCAGCACAAGGTGGACCTGTGTAATGATCATGCTGTTTAATCAGCTTCTTGATTTGCCACACCTGTCAGGTGGATGGATTATCTTGTCAAATGGGAAATGCTCACTAACAGGGATGTAAAGTAATGTGTGCACAAAATTTGAGAGAAATAAGCTTTTTGTCCGTAAGGAAAATTTTGGGGTTCTTTTATTTCAGCTCATGAAACATGGGACCAACACTTTACATGTTGCATTTATATTTTTGTTCAGTGTATTTACAGAGTTACAGAAACTCTGTGAAATTGTTAAAAAGCTAACACTTTCAAAAGTGTAACATTAACTATGGGACAATATAGTGAGTGTTACATTTAACACTATTAGAGCTTAACACTTCCACTTTTGATTTTGCTGTGTACAATTAACTTATTTTTTTTAACAACTTGTCAATACATTGCTCTACTCTCTCTTTCTCTCAAGCTCCTGTCTCTGTATCAGAAGCTACCATCCTCCCCAACCCTTTCAAGCACTGCCAGGTTTAGACCCCTGTGTCATGACCTCCTGCTTGCCATCATGTCGGAGATGGAGATCGTAGAAGACCGGGCCAAGCTGAAACAGGGCCTGGTGAAGGTGCTGCAGTGTATGACCACCATCTTCTCAGCGGTGGCTGTGGTCAACCCCATCTTCGGTATAGCCGGCTCTCTGATCCGAGTGGTGCTGCACCACGTGGACGATGAGGATATCCAGACGCTGAAGCGCAAGTTTGGCTAGGTCAGCTGTGCCCTGGACATGGACAGGAGATGCTGGATGACCAGTACTGCCATGTGGAGGAGAACCTGCGCAACCAGTTCCTCAAGTTCATAGAGATGGTGCTGGTGCGGCCCGAGCACTGCGAGCGCAAGAAGGACGACTTCGAGGAGAGCTACTCCAATGACCTGGGCGACCAGAACCTGCACACGCTCTACGAGGTCGTGGCGGGCATGCCCAAGCTGTTCAGCCGGCCCATCCTGGAGGGTTGAGTGGACCGAGAAGATGGAGCATGTGCAGGAGAGGATGCAGGAGGCCCTGCGGAAGTGCAAGTGAAGAAGAGGAGTAGAAAAAGAAGGTGTAGAGCAGGGTTCCCCAACTGGCGGCCCGCGGGCCGAATTTGGCCCATGGGTGGTTTTATTTGGCCCCCCCAAGTTTTCTGAGCAAAAAATAATAATAAAATATAGAAATTATTGTGGGACATAAAAGACTGTAAAAACATCAGGAAATTAGCTCTAATTATTTTAATGTAAGAAATCTGTTCCCAAGTATTCCCACGCATAATAGAGAGATGTGATCGTATATGTCACGACTTCGGCTGAGGCTGCCTCCCCTCCTTGTTAGGGCAGGCTTCGGCGTTCGTCGTCACCGGAGTACTAACCACTGCCGCCCCAATCATCATCACAATTGTCTTGTCTCGTTTTCACACACACTTAGCTCTAATCCCCTAATTAGTCAGTGTATAAGTGTTCCCTCTGCCCCCTTGTCCTTGTGGGTGATTGTTTATTGTGAAGGTTAGTGAAGCTCGGTGGAGCTCGTGTATTTTGTTAGACTGGAATATTTTCCCATGTGCCTTGTATTTTTCAGTGCACCTGTTTTGTGCCCTGGAGTGTGTTTGACGCAGTTCTGTGTAAACCTGTATTTTGCGGATTAAAGCCTGTTATTCTGTGATTTACCCTCCTGCGCCTGACTCCTTCAACACCACCTCATCACAGAATCACCCACCCGAAAGAGGAGTCAGCGGGAGAAGAGCGCATGCCTGGAGTCGTGGCACGAGTCCAGGAGCATTCGACGATGCTGGCCAGCTTGGGGGAAGAAATGGATCGGGTTCTTCAGGTCGTTCAACGCCTGGAGGGGAGAGAACCCGATCTTTCGAGACCAGCTGGCCAACCGGATCCAGCCACCTACACCCCAGCACCCGGAGGGATCCAGATATCCCGACCATGGGCGTTTGATGGGATGACGGCGCTGTGCCAGGGATTCCTCCTCCAATTGGAGCTTTACTTCGCCAGCATCAGGCCGGAACCATCGGAGCGGGAGAAGGTGTCCGTCCTCGTTTCCTGCCTATGTGGGAAAGCCCTGGAGTGGGTGTGGAACGAAGGAGGAGCCACGTTGGAGGACTACAGGGAGTTCGCTTGCCTCTTTCGGGCGGGCTTCGATCAGGCGGGTGAGCGACTGGTCCATCTGAGGCAGGGGACGAGGACCACGCAGGACTTCGCATTGGAGTTTCGGTCCCTGGCAGCGGGGTCCGGGTGGAACGAGCGGGCCCTGATCGACCATTTCCGGTGCCATCTGCGGGAGGATGTCCGACGGGAGCTAGCCTGCCGAGACACCATGTTGTCCTTCAACAAACTGGTGGACATGGCCATTAAGTTGGCCAACCTGCTGGCAGCCAGAGGACGTCCTGGTAGGGGTCTGCCCGTTTCCACCCCGGACGACTCGGATCCCGAGCCGATGGAGATGGATGGAGCCGCCGGCCGAGAGAGCGGAGGAGGACAGCGACAGTGCCACTCTGGTGGCACAAAGGGACAATACACCACACGTCGTAGTCAACGTTCTTTTGGGCCGGGAGGCGGCAGGCAGGGCACTCACGCATCACCCCAGGTATCGAACACCCACGCCCTCTGCTGCGCACTGTACCCTACCTATCCACTTTCCCGATCTCATGGTAGTTCCCCAGTGTAAGGCACTAGTCGATTCAGGCACAGCTGGAAGCTTTATGGACAGGGCATTCGCACGCCGTCAAGACATAACATTGGTTCCCCTATCCATTCCACTCCCCATCAGAGCACTCGATAGTCAACCAATAGGGTCCGGGTTTGTTACGGAAGTCACGATACCAGTCACCATGTTCACCCAGGAGACTCATTTTGAGCAGGTTATTTTTTCGATTATTGAATCTCCTGCTTTCCCTGTGGTATTAGGTATCCCTTGGCTAGCACTCCACAACCCCACCTTCTCATGGTTGCAGAGGGTTCTCACAGGGTGGTCGCAAGAGTGTCAGGGTAGGTGTCTAGATGTTTCCGTTGGTGCAACCACGGTGGAAAGTCCAGACAGTACCTCCACCGTGTGCATTCTCCCTGAATACCTTGATCTGGCGCAAGCGTTCTCTAAAACGCAGGCAACTAAATTACCACGTCATCGGGTGGGGGATTGCGCAATAAACATCCGGGTAGACGCTGTACCTCCCAGGAGTCATATATACCCCCTGTCACAGGCTGAAATGGTGGCTATGGAAACCTATGTCACCGAGTCCCTGCGCCAGGGGTATATACGTCCCTCCACTTCACCCGCCTCCTCGAGTTTCTTCTTTTGTGAAGAAGAAGGACGGAGGTCTGCGCCTGTGCATTGATTATTGACCACTGAACAGGGAGACGATAAGATTTAGTTATCCTCTCCCCCTCATTCCTTCGGTGATTGAATCAATGCATGGGGCGCGCTTCTTCACCAAATTAGATCTCAGGAGTGCGTACAACCTGGTGCATATCCGAGAAGGAGATGAGTGGAAGACAGCATTCAGCACAACCACAGGGCATTATGAATACCTGGTTATGACCTATGGTTTGATGAATAATCCCTCAGTTTTCCAGTCCTTTGTGAACGAGGTGTTTCGGGACATGCTTGGTCGCGGTGTAGTGGTCTACATCGATGACATCCTGGTGTATTCCGCTACGGGCGCCGAGCATGTGTCCCTGGTTCGCAAGGTGCTGGCCCGACTGTTGGAGAATGACCTTTATGCTAAGGCAGAGAAATGCATGTTTTTCCAGCAGTCCGTCTCCTTCCTTGGATATCGCATTTCCACCTCAGGTGTGGAGATAGGGGAGATCACATTTCAGCCGTGCGTAATTGGCCGACTCCAACCATGGTTAAGGAGGTGCAGCGCTTCCTTGGCTTTGCCAACTACTATCGGAGGTTTATCCGGGGCTTTGGCAAGGTTGCAGCTCCCATTACCTCCCTGTTGAAGGGTGGGCCGTCCCGGCTATGCTGGTGTGCTGAGGCTGACCTGGCCTTCAGCAAACCGCAGGGTCTGTTCACCTCAGCCTCAGTACTGGCTCAACCCGATTAATCACTACCGTTCATAGTGGAGGTGGATGCGTCCGAGGTTGGGATAGGAGCTGTCCTGTCTCAACGCTCGGGTACGCCACCCAAGCGCCGCCCCTGTGCCTTCTTCTCTAAGAAACTCAGCCCGGCGGAGCACAACTACGACGTTGGTGATCGGGACCCTTTCCTCGTCTGGACGGACCACCGTAACCTGGAGTACATCCCGGCAGCGAGGAGGCTGAATCCTCGCCAGGCCAGGTGGGCCCTATTCTTCACCCGGTTTGATTTTACACTGTCATACATTCCGGGTACGAAGAACGTGAAGGCAGACGCACTGTCCCGGCTGTATGACACAGAGGAGAGGCCCAGAGACAACATCCCCATACTCCCGGCCTCCTGCATTGTAGCGCTGGTAGTATGGGCGATGGACGCAGATATGGAGCAGGCATTACGCACAGATCCATCTCCACCGCAGTGTCCAGCTGGGCTGCGGTACGTGCCTGCTCTTATCTGATGATCTTCTGGGCACACACGTCACCCTCCTCTGGTCACCCAGGTATCGGCCGTACAGTGCGCTGCTTGAGCGGAAAGTAATGGTGGCCTACCTTGGCTAAGGACGTGAGGGTGTACGTCTCCTCCTGCTCGGTGTGCACCCAGAGTAAGGCACCTAGGAACCTCCCAACGGGTAAGCTACAACCATTACCAGTTCCACAACGACCATGGTCTCATCTTAGTATTGATTTTCTGACTGATCTTCCCCTCTCCCAAGGTAACACCACCATCCTGGTCGTTGTGGACTGCTTCTCCAAGTCCTGCCGCCTCCTTCCTCTGCCCGGTCTCCCCACGGCCCTGCAGACTGCAGACGCCCTGTTTACTCACGTTTTCCGGCACTACGCTGTGCCAGAGGATATTGTGTCTGACCGAGGTCCCCAGTTCACGTCCATGGTTTGGAAGGCGTTCATGGAATGTCTGGGGGTCTCGGACAGCCTGACTTCTGGGTTCCACCCCGAGTCAAATGGGCAGGTGGAACGAGTAAATCAGGATGTAGGTAGGTTCCCGCTATCCTACTGCCAGGACCGGCTGGGGGAGTGGTCGGTGTTCTTGCCATGGGCAGAATATGCCCAGAACTCTCTCCGCCACTCCTCTACTTACCTAACACCATTCCAATGTTTTTTAGGTTACCAACCGGTTCTAGCACCGTGGCACCAGAGCCAGACCGAGGCGTGGGACGCTGCACACGTTCACCTCCAGCACGCCGTGCATCGTCAGAAGGCCAACGCTGACCGTCACCGCGGTGAGGCTCCGGTCTTCGTACCGGGGGATTGGATCTGGCTCTCGACCCGGAATCTGCGCCTCCGCCTGCCCTGCCGGAAGCTGAGCCCGCGGTTTGTGGGGCCGTTCAAAGTCCTGAGGAGAATCAACAAGGTTATGTATAGGTTGTTACTTCCCCCTGATTACCGTATTAACCCCTCGTTTTATGTGTCTCTCCTCAGGCCGGTGGTAGTTGGTCCGCTCCAGGAGTCTGAGGTGCGGGAGGTTCCTTCACCTCCTCTGGACATCGAGGGGGCCCCAGCGTACTCTGTCCGTGCCATCCTTTCAAGGCGTCGGGTGGGGGGCCTTCAGTATCTCGTGGAGTGGGAGGGGTACGGTCCGGAGGAACGGTGCTGGGTCCCGGTGGGGGATATCCTTGATCCCTCCCTGTTGCGGGATTTCCACCGTCGCCATCCGGCTCGCCCTGCTCCGCGTCCTCCTGGCCGTCTCCGAGGCCGGGGTCGGCGCGCTGTTGGAGCTACGCGTCATGGGGGGGGGGGGGGGGGGGGGGGGGGGGGGTACAGTCACGACTTAGGCCGAGGCTGCCTCCCCTCCTTGTCGGGCAGGCTTCGGCGTTCGTTCGTCGTCACCGGAGTACTAACCACCGCCGCCCCAATCATCATCAAAATTGTCTTGTCTC